AGGCGATGCAATGTATAAATTTGTTCTATTGTTGCAGTATTCAATGCCAAGTGCAATTTTATTGGGAGCAATCGCCAGTTTGAGGGGTTATGCAGTTAGAGAGGCTTCAGCACTTCTTTTCTGGCAGCATGTTATTGCCCTTTTTTCCCTGTCCCTGTATAATGTTATCTATTTCAAATTACTTACATGAGCTTTAGATTTGTCTTGTTGTCTTATCAGCTAAGATTGTTGAGATGGTTCAGCATGGAAATGCCATCAGGTTATTGCTGTCTTCATGTCCATTACAGTATATTGTTTAAACAAAACAGAATGTTTGGTGGCAATGTGTACTAAACCAAACACTTGCAATGGAGGTAATGCAGGCTTCATGTCTAAACGTTGATATCTTAGTATAATCAACAATACTAGAGCTGCTTATGCCTGTTATCACTCATTTTTCCTTTTGGAAATCTAGATACAGGCGCTAACTGCAGTTTTCTGTTAGATTGCTCCATTTTTCCAGTATATCCTCAATAACCACTGACCTTTAATGTGTTTAAAAATTTAAATCCAGTTCAGAATTTTTTTTCTGTCCCCTTTATTTCTCGATTTAACTAGAGGGCAGAAAGAACCAAATTTATCAGAGTAGCCTGAAACCTTGTTTATATTCAGTACAATGTGCTCAAATGTGAGAAAATGATATAATTTCCTGTTTTCTGTGAACTTGTGTAAGTCTCAGATAGTTTGTTTTCAGAGCCGCACTGAGAAAGAGACAACTGAGCATGTATCATGATTCACAAGATTATATCAAGTTCTACTATGATGCCTCAAAGTCAACATGTTGCCAGGTAATTTAAAATTTTATAGTAATTATTTCTTTTTTAGTTCTCATTTAACTTTTGTACCATGGCATTGTGCCATTTGATAAAAGTATATCAGAGGAGGAAGAAGCCTTAAATGCCAAGTGTTTAGTCTACTGCTGTAGCTTATGTGGCTGTATTGACATTTACTTGTGTGTTTGAATTTGTAAGTGGGTTATGGATAGGGAGTTTCTTGTCTGAATGAAACTGTTACTGTCCCATATTGTTGTAATAAATATATTTGAATATTATAGAGCTATAACCAAGAGAATTATTGAAGTATTGAATACTTTGATAATTGGGTTATCTCTTAAAATAAGCCTAAGCTTGTGTGTGTAAGAATATAATGGGGTCCCAATCAGAACAAACATAGATTTAAAGACAATTTCTCCTTCGGGTGAGAAACCAACCACAATTTCATTGCTGAATATTCTTATCTCAATTCCTTAGACATACAAGCTTTAAATAAGAAAGAAACAAACATAATTGGTTATCTAATACAATAACTGTAATTAACTACTAGAAACTATCTAATCTTATCTTCTTCTAAAACTGCTCTATTAACTATTTAAACATCCTTGGTGGTTGAAGTATCGAGGGTTAGATATCTTGCGTCTCTGTGATCTGCGGATTGTATCATTACTCCCTCCAGTAAGAGGAACCTTGACCTCAAGGTTCAGTGTAGGAAATTGTTCATGCAAGGCAGTTGTTATCTCCCAAGTAGCATCTTTAAGGGGTAGATGACGTCATTTAACAAGACTCTCTTCCACAAATTTGGAACCGCGCTTAATCCATCGGTGATCAATAATAGATTCTGGTTGTAGGAGTGGAGCACCGTTCTCTATAGTAGGAGGCAGAATATCTGTAGTAGAAGTGATAGTACCAAACTTTTTGCAAAACATCGAAACATGAAAAACTGGATGGATGCAAGATGTAGCAGGCAATTGAAGTTTATAAGTCACTGGTTCAATTCGTTGAATGATCTGAAAAGGCCCATAAAAACGACAAACAAGTTTGTGAAAGGCTCGCTTGAAGATGGAGTGCTGGCGATAAGGTTGCAATTTAAGAAAAACCTAATCACCCTCCTGAAACTCGACATCACATCGCTTGGAATTGGCCATTTGTTGCATGCGATGGTTGGCATTTTGCAAATTAATTTTAAGTTGTTGTAGCAAGGCATCACGGTTAGTCAATTGAATATCAATTTCATTCACAATGGAGCCACTCATATGATACGGGGGAATAGTAGGCGGTGGTCGTCCATAGAGTGCTTGAAACAGATACATTTTAATTGATGAATGATATGTAGTATTGTACTAGAACTCGGCCCAAGGTAATATAGAAGTCCAATTGCAGGGTTACTAGTGGCAAAGACATCAAAGA